CAGGAGTAAAACAGTCTGAAACTAGCTGTGTCAGGAGCAACGCGAGTAAAGTAACAACCGCTGGTTGTGGGAATCTCACTACAGGGGTACACTGAAAGGTGATCCGCGCTGAAAAAGGTGAGAAGTACCGCAGAGCTGTTTATCCTTGCTGGGAATCGACAGCAGTGCGCATGTACATCACGATTATCTACGACCACCGTGAATCAAAATTGGGTGTCAAACTATATAAACCGGCTAGTTAGGGTTGTATGCCACAGTTGAACTCACAAAAAAAGGTAACCAACAGAGGCCGCTTGTAGTATCTCGGCAATGGGAGCAAACCTCGGCGGAAACGAGGACACCTTAGAAACAGTAAAGTGCTAACAAACTGACCAATATCACACTGTGTGTTGTTTCTCATTCATGGCGGTTTGGCGCACAACTCGACAAGACTGGAACCTTTAGAACCACTAGTCATCCTAACATGGACCTTGGACACTGACCCCTGATTCCTCTTGTTTTGTACTATTACCTCACGGTGGTTACCGTGTTTGATGGTTTTGCCCCCCGACTTGAGGAGTCTGTCAGTACATAACCACGTGATTGGCGGGTGGATGCGCTTTAATTACTCCGTTGATCAACCATTCGTGCCTGAACGGTGTACCGCCCAACTGTAAGCCGGAAGGTCTCCGGCTCAGATCTCCACAGAAGATCCTAAGATGCATCCCGATGATGGTTTACAGCACGAATGAAACGGCTTCCGGGGGTTTTCAGCAGAGTGACTGCACTATCACGTTGAATTGTGGGTTGAAAGTTTAAAGTCTCTTTACCAAAGTGCCGATGAAAAGCTAAGTTGCTTAGCCAACCCATCATAAATCCTGATCTGAGACCTGACAACAATCAGGTCTTGGGCTTGGGAATTTAATAGAAGCATACACTGATCGAATCTCGAAAAAAAACACTAGGCCTTCTTCCCTTACTGAGACTCATGAAGTGGGGGCTTAGATGGAATGGGTCATGTAACCATGGGCAGTTACAAACTTTGAACTACCGACCGGTTTTGGTCAGCCCATCTGTGAAGATTATGTCAAACATACTGGCTATTTAGTGATGACCTTGGGTCGACAGTCTATTACCCTTAGCTGGAGGATAACGCGGCTAGTCTCATCCACGCTTATGTGATGGATATCCGCGGAGGCCCTAATAACAGAACAGCACGTCAGTTGAACGGATGTGTTACGTGCGGTTTACGGACTAGGGATGCCCTAATTGGTCAGAATGTCAGCCAATCTGTATCGAGCATCTTTAGCTCGACGTTTTTCGCCCCCTCACGGATATTCCAGCACGACCTTGTGGAACATTCTGTTATTATCCTATAGATACAGTCGTAATAATTTTCCTTTGTCTCCATAAAGGGCTATGTACAGCTACCGTGACTTTTGATATATCATAGTGGGCGGATCAGGAAGCCAAGGACCGATACAGAGTTGCACGACCGTTCGGCAAGTCATAATAGAATACCAATAAATAAGCAGAATAAGTCGTTCAGCTGTAACATCCTTCCGGTGCCTAGCTGCCATACAATCCGAACGAAGCATGAGGGCTGGGATACTGCCAGGTTGCCCAAGCCAAGACAGGGAAGTCGAGAGGTAGAGGTTGGGTTCGAACCACGAACCTTCTGGTTAGTAAATTCGCGCTCTAACCACTTGAATCATCTTGCCCCCGACAGAATCTCGATAAAAAAGAATGACAATATGCGACTGAGCATTTTTGAATGTGACGGCATTTTCCCCTGGGTTTAGGGACACTCCCAGGATTAGAATGACAGGGTCTGCCAAGGAATTTTCGGCAACCAGTTGTACACCGTAGAAATCGATCTAAAAAACACATGTCCTCAATGTTATTTATCCGTGGCTGGAGTACACTGATAAACTCAGACCACGAAATACATCCTGGTTATCGCTTGACTCTGTACTTCGGCCCCGAGGAGCGAGTGATTATGTCCGGTTAGGTTCGTCAAAGGACACAACAACTTGATTCGCTTCTGGGTAAAGCGTGAGGACACAAAGATGAGGTAATCCAAAGATCTTGTGCCATATTGCCCTGCACTTTATTTAAAGCTGGCTGCAAGCAATTTCTTAAAGGATACTCGTTCCTAATGACCTCAGTGTGCAGTCTTAGTAGTGCCGCAATATTGGTGCATTCATTGGATGTCAACCGAACGACTAGACTGGCAAGGCCAATAGGCGTTTCATCTTCTGAGTGTGTTTATATAGCACTCTGAAGTGAATCTCGGATATGATTGGTCCATTGGCCTCGTGCTTTCATTGGCCCGTTCGTAACCAATGTTAGGTTGGTCTCTCAGAGAGGTTATAAAAGCAAGAGAATGAATAAAAACACGTGAACATCGTATTAGAATGGGAAGTCAGCTGTACTAGATTGAAGGAAAACGGAAAATTTCCAACTTACGCGCAGGCCGACACCAAGCATTCCAGGGTTGAATAATAGTACCCATCGGACTCCTCGACTGATTCGTAATAGTTGCTCAACGAAGCCGCATTGTTCGCCCAATCGATGGGGTCAAAAGGTTGAACGGCGTTGGAGATGTAACAGGCGAACCGCCTACGCATGTTTCCAAACACTGCCTGGTTAGCATCCCGGTAGCGCCGCGCTGAGGCAGCTCGGGGTTTCGTTCGATTGTTGTCGGCTGACAACACCAAATGGGCTAAATCTTTGAATGGCTGAGCATAGGTGAGCTGTCGAGATAGGGTCAGTTGACAACAGGTGGCCGCATGACTAGGTTCGTTGGCTAGTTGGTAGGCCTGGGAAGATAAAAAACGATGCATTACTCATCGTTGGATCGTCTTGTGACCTAGTCAGTTTGTCAACAGATTACGATAGAATACCTCTTCCATATTAGATCATTGGGGCAGCTGTGTACTGACTATCAGTAACACGACTTGACGCGGCACAAAGCAAGACACTGATAGAAACTTACGCCCAGTCGTCAGCGGAATACGTCATTCCTTGTCCCACCCCAAAAAGATGGAAGTTTCCGAGTGACATAAAAAACCGTTCAGCCATAGCACCCTTTCGGTGCCTAGCTGCCATGCTACCCGAAGGAAGCACGAGAGCTGAGATACTGCCAGGTTGCCCAAAGCTAGACAGGGGAAGTCGAGAGGCAGAGTTAGGGTTCGAACCACGGACCTCCCGGTCAGTAAATTCGCGCTCCAATTACTTGGACCATCTCGCCCAAGAGAGTGACATATATTAAGAGGTTAATCGCGCAGACTAGACAGGTCAGTCATTGGTTGGGTCTCCAGGGTTGGGATGGGTCTTCCTATCCGGACCAAGCATCCCTTCGATGATGGATGGCCCGGTCAGCACATCGCTGAGTCGGTTGTTTCTTTATTTCAAAGTCATACTCGGTCATTCGTTTTCACAGAAGTTTGAGACCGAAATTTCACAAGCTAGTCTATCTTGACAGCTGCCAACAACGCATCGCCATTTTTGCAAATACGCTCTTTCACAGACCTGAAATTCTGAGTTTCATAAGCAAGTAAGTAGGCCATACACACGGATTTCTAAGAGGGTGGTTAAGCTCTGACAACCTTGTAGTGCATAGCTATCATGCAACCCGGAGAAAGCACGGGATCACCTTAACAAGAGCAACCAAAAAGCTGGGGTTGAGTTCGAAGTAAGGACAAGTTTTGTACCTTAATCGCTGAGCTGCCTCTAGTTTGCTCAATGGAGGGAGACTGGAGTGGATACAAGTGGAACACAAGATTAGTGGAAACTAGGGGACTGCGCCTCCTTGATGAACCCGAATTATATCAATTCAATTTGTCATCTATAAACCGCGTGTCATAAGCACAATGGTTCCAGCTACTACAGTTTCGATCACCGGAAAGTGGGAGGGTATGGGACATATCGCGTTGAAGACGGTATATTTGATTAGTTCAGGTGGCTACGCATTGAAGACGATAGCTTTGATACGCCAGCGCCAGTAACTGCACGATTCGGCCATTTCTGCCAATATCATTAACCATTGGTGATTTGAGTACTGGGGTCCCAATCCAGGAGGGCGGCAGCTGTCGACTCAAGAAGGGTGAAACCTATTGTGGATTGTAGTAAATGAAAAAATCGTTCAGCTGTAGCACCCTTTCGGTGCCTAGCTACCATGCCACACGAAGGAGGCACGAGGGCTGGGATACTGCCAGGTTGCCCAAGCCTAGACAGGGGAAGTCGAGAGGCAGAGGTCAGGTTCGAACCAAAGACCTTCCGGCCAGTAAATTCCCGCTCTAACCACCTGGTCAGTAGAACAGTCTTCAGCAACCTTGTGAGCAGTGCGTTCAGTCAGGGAATGAATACCGTTCGGACTTAGTTATCCAACGAGCCTGAGCAGTAATACTCGTGACACACATTGCAAACAGACTTACAAGGAACTGGTTGAAAATCAAGATTGGGTGTGGAAACTGGTGATCGAACAAGCTACAGTCAAACCGACTGCTTTGGGACATTCGGGTTAACTTTTTTGAGGTCCAAGTATGTGAAAACCACGCACATGACACACACACTCGGTCCTAGTGTTACGGTGATACTACTGGTGGGGGGCATGCG